TAAAATGTTGTTAAACCATTTTTTAAAGGCAATTCTTTTTAAAAGTCTAGTACCTACCCTACCGTCGCCAAATAAAAACATTCGACAAGGCACTAATAACTATTACAGCGAAAGCGAAATGCTTTTGGTTTGAAAGCTTCTTCTAAAATTGCGGTGCAAAGTAAAAGGTCCTTAGTGTTTACTGATGATGTAAGCACTGTGAGCAAAGATGCTTTAGTTTTCCTTTGTCGCACATTTTTTGCAAGTTATTGATCGCGGAAGATAAATTGGTCAACAATTGACAAAAAAATGTCTTTTTTTTTTTACTCTTCATTGGGGTACTCGAACAGGTATAGGTAATGTTCCTCAAAGAAACCCGTGTGGTGTCGTGGGTCACCCAGTTGGGTGACAACATTCGCCAATCTCTCTAACTCTGCAAAGAAAATTTAGAGGGAGAGAGACAGAGTTAAACGCACTCATGTCATGCGATAATAAAAAATTCGGAAAATAATTACTTTTTATAATTTTATGTACAGTAAAAGTTCCTTATTCACGGTTTCCTTATTCGCGGGTGAAAAAATTGCAACCCAGTTCCTGTATTTGCGGCTAAAAATTTCATTATTCGCGGATGCAATCGGTAAACAGAAAAGGATTCGGTGTCATTTATTAAGAGTATTGACCGCAATAGACCACTCGTGCCTACTGTGAATTATTCCAAAAATGTGGGTTTCTATTCTAAACATTGTGATTTAACGCTAGGAGATAAATATCTGATTTTTTGTATAGTAACAGATAAAGATTCACACTAACTCGGCACGTTTTTAGTTTTCAATAATATGGTCATTAAAAGCTTTCAAAAGTGCTTAAAGTTGACGCATCTTGGAGGACACGTATTTTCTATAGAAATTAAAAAATTAAAAAATGGTCTTCGACAGGCTTTAGAACAAAGCTTTATCTATCTTAATACAAAATTTTAAACCTCTGCTCTAAACATTAAACTCATGATATCTAGAACCGATAAGCATGTTTTTACTCTACGGCGCGTGTACTACTGAATCCCCTTAATGTATCGGCATCTTTTGAGTATGTACTGTACTATTAATTTTAATTGCGAATTTCTCAAAAGATAGATTTTATTCTGATACATATTGGTTTTATTTTAGATCCTTAGAACGTATCCCCTATGATTCCATACTAATTACCATTCCATATCCACGGTTTCTGTATTCGCGGCATATTTATGGAACGTATACCCCGCGAATAAAGAGCTTCTGGGAGCCTGTGACGTGACCAGGATTTGCCAAAGGGGAGCTTCAAGGTAAAAATGCTGAAAATCTACATTATCTATCAACCTGTATCTTCATTTCGGCTGAACTGATTTAGATGTAACTTTACAGACATGAAAAGAAATGTTGTCGGGAGCAATCTATAGACTACTTTTTGTTTTTTGCCAATTAATTAACTTGACAACATACTGCTTATTGCATTGTCTGTACCTCACATTCCTCAAACTGCAACATAATAAAAAACCTCCCATTACAGTCGATGAGGAGGGTTTTCACTTCCTAACACACCTCCCTTGTGGCTACATCACTGCTGGGAACAGTTGGAGGAGGAGATCACAGATTTAAGCGTTGTCCCAGACGAAACTTTGTATGTACCTACAGACATTGCCCTTGAGGGTGTCCTGCAGTTCCTGCATTTAAATGCAGTTTTGTATGTTTAAATAAATATTACACTTAAATGTTTACAACACGAAGTGTATGATAAAATAATATTTAAGTTTATGGTCTGATGATCCTGATAAAGTTGTGGAATTTTTAATGTGTTCTAAATTATACTTGTCTTGATTGTTTATTAACAATTTCAGAAGAAAAAACATTAATGTAAATAATATCTTTAATGCTCTATAGTTTTTGAAGTAAAACTTCTTTATCGACGCTAGGAGGTAAATTTACTAAGGTATAAAACCGAAAGATGTAACGTCACGCGTCACAGCGTCACGCGCCACATGTGACCCTGGTGGATATGTCCAAAAGGAGTCATTTTAACAGGCTTCAGAAGCTAACCTGTTAGTAGTAACCGAAAATCCGAAAATTGCCATGCTGTATATGTATTAATGCATTTGTGTTTGTTTGTTTTGATTTGCAATTCCTCTCTGAAATTTTGTATGGTGCAAGCGTAACAAAACTGAACCAATATTCCGCATTCGTCCGCTTGAAATAAAGTTGTATATTTCTGGTGTTTAGTGGCTAGTTTAAAGAAGTTTCACTTCTTACGCATGTACACTAATACACGCTCGTCCCTTTTCTTTTTTTATTGAACCGAGTATTATTAAAGGGTAAATTTATTAATCTATTATTACTATGTAAGGAAGTTAAGAGTAGAAATTTCGTGTTGAATGGAATAAATGTAAAATAATATTAAAGGAACAAAAACTTTTCAAATTATTGAAGTCCGAAGTTCGATTGTAATTGTACACTGGGACATATGGCGGTCTACTGATCAATTATTATTGATTCATGAGATCAATAATTATTTCTGCACGGCTCTGATATTGAAGAAATAATATTTTTTATCTTATCTAAAAGATAAGGTAAGTAGATACAATATTCCTTTTAGGAAATAATTTGCAAAACATACAGTTAAATATTAAAATAAAACATTTGTTATGCACTTACTTAACGCATTAAGTAAACATACTTATCAGCGTACGCAATATTTGTTATTTTTGCGTAACATTATGAAAAATATAGTTATAAATTGGCTACATAAGAAAAAATTTTTAGATGTAAAGTATGAAAATTATTATAAAAATTGAATAACAAAAAATTTTAATGGTTTAGTAACATAATATTATAGTCACAAATCTATCATTTTTAACCATTAAATAGAAATCGATGTTTTTTATTTTCACTATTATGACTATTACTATCAATGTCTTAGAAGATGTCATCCCACCGTACTATATAATCCTTCTTATCCTTATTGATTTGTTCTACTTTCTATAATTCCTCCTCATTTCTAACCTTTTCTATCTTTGCCATAATCATCATCATCATCCCCCTTGCTCGTCCTCATTTCGCATCCCTTCAGAGCCGTACTTCAAACGCACACTTTTAATAATCCTTTCTGAAATCGCAAATTAACCCTTCGAGAGCACAGAAAGGCGCTATTTCTTGTTTTATGCCTCTAAAAGCTCTCAACAACCCTACTTTCACTTTACTCATTTTGATTTACTTTTATTTACTTTGATTCCTTGCTGTTCTTTTTTTTTTATTCATTTGTAGCATGTTTTTAAATAATAATTACACTTATTTGCATAAATTAACAACAAATAACAAAAAGAATAAATTAATGACGATAGAAATAAATAAACTTTAGCAGGTCAACCGTTTAAGCTTTTACTGTAGCTGGTAATAGATATTAATTAATTAAAAAATAGGAAGTACTTTTGACATTGATTATAATAAGATTAAAGTTCGATTCCTGCAATTGCTATCCTGTAGGATGGAACTGTATCATTCAAGAAAATCCAAATAACAAATAGAAAACTAATGAGTATAGTTGTTGCCAAAAAAAGATAAAAAATCAGTATTTATTAAAATCAAATTATTTTAACGATCAAAATATTCTGTGCATTTCTTTTTTGATACTGGCAGGAAAAAATAAAGAATAGTTGATACAACTAAGTGATGAAGAAGTATATTCCACGCGTTCACCAAATTATGACTTTTCGATGCCGATAAAGAAGCGTGTAATTTCTATGTTCGATGCACTTTTTACCTTATCTGTATAAGTAAACATAACTTTATTTTCGAATGTGCCTAATTTCCCATTTTTCGACGAATACTAATAATATTCAAACGGTTTAAAATTACAAACAAGATTAGAATCCTTAAAAAAACATCTCAAAACAAACGTTCCTACAGAAAGTTGTGAAATCCCTTTCAATTCTGAAAATGCGTGATTCAAAATCTCGTTCGAAAGCAAAATTAATATGTAAGTAGATTATTTTTGGGGAAAAAAACTTTGTGCTAGGAAACAAACTATCTTTACAACCTATATCAGGGATGGCGAACCAATGGCACGCGACACAATATTTTGGGCACGTCACTAATGTTTCTGTCATTGATTCTTTAATCAAGGAATTTTCAGCAAGATTTTCTCACTTCAGAGAATTATCGGAAATACTAATACGAAAGTTTATTATGTACCCTGATGTGATATTTGATAAAATAAATTGAAGAATCAGAAATGCAGCTGATTGATTTCTAGTGTAGTTCAATATAATTCAAAAAGTTGTTGGAACAAGGAAAGAGTTGAGAATTGAAACAGAAAGATCGACGGGTAATACAAGTGAAAATGCTAATAACAAAATTTTGGAAACATGGAATGCGATAACAAACACATTTAATTTTTTGAAAAAGCTGGCATATGATATTTTAATAATGTTTTCATCAACCTATGCCTGCGAGTCATTATTTTCAGAGATTAATAACATAAGAAACTCGCAGTTACAAACCGTTTGGTAGATGACTCCAGTTCAGCATGCATTCTGCTAAAATTAACATCTTACAACCCTAACATAAGTTATTTGTCATATAATCTGCAAAAACAGAAGTCACACTAATTTTACTTTAATTTAAATTACACGTATAATTTAAACATTGCAAAATGTTTCTATTTTCTTGTAGAATTTTGAGTTGATATTATTTATTATCATTATTTTCCCAATAATCACACAGACAAAATTATTTGATGGCACGTCTATGACCTGATTAAACTTTTCTTTATAAAAATGGCACGACGGTACTTAAAGGTTCGCCATCCCTGACCTATATCATTAAGGTGCATAATTATGCTATCAAAAATCGTTTAAAAACGTAAACATGGATGTGCATGAACGAATGTGAGTTAACAAAAACCCATCACGCTGTTGAATAATCATAAAAAACATAATTTAAAATAAAATATTTATGTAAGTACTACACGCGTCGCTTATCCCATATTAAACTCACCTTCGATCGTTTTAAATTTCGACCGTTGTTGTAAAATCCATAAAAACAACAACTGGAACGTACGATAAAACGATAGTAAAATTTCGTTCGTTGGAATGTTTTTATTTACGCACAAACGAAAACGGTAACATTGTTATACGTAGGTAGGCGGCGACGGATGACGCGAAAGCGCAACGCTTTTTATACGAGAACTTGCGAAGGCTTTGAAGTAACTCGACTGAATGACAAAATCGACAGATTGACGCGGTTGGTCTTTGATAATGATAACGGCCAATCGTAAATGATTCCACGCAGAGGTAAAGCGATCTTACACCTACAATGCTTGGATAAAATACAGTGTAGATGTATCCATCGCAGAAGGCGCCTTTTTCTTTCGCGACATTGTGAGGTAAGCACCACTGTTGGCGCTTTCGACAAACAAAGTTCCATTTTCTGCGCCTTGTGAAAATTGGGACGTTGTCGTGTGGCGTGCAAGGATGGACACCGAGCGGGAAAAATCCATAAGTAATTAGCAGGACCGTTTTAAATTACAGGGTGGCTCGAGCTAGTACCAAAATGCACGATAGCGGGTACGGGACAGGAAAGGGAAAGGGGAGAGCAGAAAAAGGTCCCAAAATGCGTAAAGAAACTGGAGTTGTAAGGTTATTCCAAAAAGTTTTGCGGTAATTGTGGATAGGTATCGCTGAACAAACAATTCTACGAATTTCCTGAAATTCTGGACGGCTACAAAAGCGATAGGTTTCCATCATCATAAGGTCGTCAGTCCTACGACTGGTTGGACACGTACCTCCACTATTTCTTATCCTGAGTTAATCACCGCATTTCCCTAAAACTAGAACATTCCACATCCTTAACTATTTACGAAAAATTAATCTAATCTAGGTCTACCTCTACCCTTCCTAACTTCCGTTTCTGCCTCTAATATTTCTCTGAGTAGATCTTCATGCCTGAGAAGGTGTCCTACCAACCTATCTCGCCTATTTCATATTGACTTCCATAGAGTCCTGTGTTCTTCTATTCTTTATAATAACTTTTCATTTTTAACCGTCTCTATCCACGGTATCTTCATCATTCGCCTATAAAACCACATTTCAAACGCTTCTAAGCTTTTCTTTTCCGCCGCACCTTCTATCCATGTTTCGCATCCGTACAGCGCCGCACTCCAAACGTGCACCTTTAACAACCTTTTTCGAATATCTAAATTAACCCTTCGCGTGCATTGAAGTGACTTATTTTTATTGAACGCGACTCGACCCTGTGCTATCCTCTGCTTTATATCCCTACTACTCCTTCCGTCCTGACTTTCTGACTTCCTAGATACCTAAAATTGGCCACTTTTTTTAATTTTTCGTCTCCTATCTTTACATTAGCTCTTTCCCTACGTTTTCTTCCCTTGCATACCAGTATTTTTGTTTTACTTTTATTTATTTTCATACATTACTGTTTTGTCAGCACCGCACCCACTTTATTTAAAGCTATCTCTAACTCATCCTTGCTACATGCTAATACTGCTATATCATCTGCAAATCTAAGCATATCATTCACCCCTGTATATCTACCCCTACATTTGTACTGTTTTTAATGATGTTGATCGCGTCTTTTCGATGTATAGATTAAAAAGTAGTGGTGACAGTGTGCATCCTTCTCTGAGTCCCTTCCTAATATTTACTTCTCTACGTTGCTGCTCCAGCTCTATAACTGTCTGTTGCTCTTTATACAAACTAAGTATCACTCTTACAGGTTTCCAAAGGTCATAAAAAACCATTTTGATTATTATAACAGTTGTTTGTAAAGAAAATTAGCATAAAGAAAGTTCTCCACAAAATTTACGTAGAACCAATGTATATAAGGCATAGAAAATCTGGGCGTTGAAGTTTTTACATGGTATCCTTTGTAAGACTAATCATCAATGGGTATGTTTTATATCACAATTTTGTTAATCACTGTTCGTGTTCATCGACTTTTTCTTCTTTCAATTATCATCTCAACTTTTCTGCATCCACATTACATTGATGCCACAACCTTTTGTGTAATTCTGGGTATATTAACAAGTTCAGATCTGACTGGGATTGTAAATTTAGACCCTCAGTAATAAGGTTGAACTTTGAACAACAATTTATTATGATCAACTGCACAAAAAGACTGCTACATAACCATTAAATTAGAGTTCAACGAAGATGAAGCATCGATCAACCCAACCGTAATGTAACCTAGTCTGTAAACTTCCGTTTCCGTTGACGTTAGCGTCCTCCATTGCGAACTATTAAAATGTCACCCTCAACGAACGAAAAGAAGTACAACTTTAGAAATCAAGTGATAAGCAAATCAAACAAAACTTGGAGCAACTTTCTTATGGTGCTCTGAAGACCAAACATTCTTTAATCATTCTGCAACCGTAAAAGTCGCAACCGTTTTTGGATATTCGCAGACAATGTTTGGATGTTGTAGCGCCCCTCGAGTGGTGATTCTAAAGTTTGCTCACCACTACCATTCACGCATCAACGAGTTCTATCTGATCCAAATAAGTCAACGTTAAATATACGATTAAACGTTTTATTTGCCTACAAACAGTGTGAGCGTTACTGCTTATCAATTAGCATCGATTTTCTTTATTTTCCCACTAAATCGCGTAGTTTAGTTGAAGGGATTTGAAGGAAAAAAGGGACAATCGTAACGAGCCAATCTGTTTAATATTTAAGTAAATGGGAGCAATGTTTCGAGTATTTTATATAAAGCTACATATTCCGAAATTTCACTTAACTCTGTCTTAACAATTTAGCGTTCAATTAATTTTAACTAAAAAGAGGCCACTTTAATGTGATTTTTAAATGTAAAAAATATTTTTTTAAATAGGGACCATCATCTTGTTGCGAATAAGTTAACCAAATAAAAATACAAATTTGAAATTAATTAGCTGGTTATCCCTATAAACGTGGAGACCTATA